GAAAATGTAACCCATTATCAATTAAAAAGGATACGAAAACATGTTATGACCCATGGTGTCATTCCTAGAGTACATGGTAACATCGGGAAAAAGCCTTACAATTCATTTAATTTAGAAACTTATCATCATATGCTACGAAATTTATAAAATCCTATATTGAATCTAATTTTCATGTAAAGGATTACTCATATCGAACACTTATAATCCAAGGAGATACCCGAAAGAATATTTATGACCATTATTTAGAACATGGTAAAGCAAATAATCCCGGTACAAAGTTGATGGGCTATTCAACATTCAGGCATTTTATAAAAAAGCAATTTTCAAATATAAAGTTTACGAAGTTAGACAAAAAAGAAAGTTGTAAACTTGATGTAACAAAATCAAATAAAGAAGTACAGAGTAACTTTGAAAATGAGGATCTTGTACAGGAATTGATCGATCAAAGTACTTTCGACCAGCCCAAATTGTCTGATATTCAGACTATGCCTATTGTTATGATGGATGACAATATTGAATTTGTTGTGGCACAGGTTGCACCACAAATATTTCAAAGTACTGTTTATTGTGATTAAAGTTTATTGCTAATTTTTAGTAATTTTTGAAAAAGTTATGTGATTAAATAACATTGTGAAACATGTTATAATTATATATTGATTATTTAAATTTGACTTAAATTTATATATGTGTACAATATTTAAAATGTGTAAAATAATATTATAAATAGTATAGTAATTTTATTTTTGGTGCTATGGAAATAAATATATTTATTAATTTTTGTTTGTCTTTTTTTTTAAGTAGCAAATTTTTATTTGGGTCTAAATTATAAGTGATTTTTTAATGTCGAATTGTTTCATCAAATTCTTGAATAAAAGTTTTTCAATAATCATTATTGCTCGATAAACTTGAAAGTTGGAAACAAATTGGTTGTCCTAAATTTCAAACTGAAAAGAAAATTATTATTATTATCTTGAAGATAATGCTGATGTGATTGATTCATTTCTGTACGCAATTTTTGTCTCATGTTGATTATTTTAGTTGTAGATGTTACTTGTCTATAGAGATTTTATATAAATATGAATATATTATCTTGTATTAAGTTAATTTAAAAATCGTGAAAGTTATATTAATTTTGAGCAAGAACTAATAACACATTTCCAGCAAATGATATTTATTTTTGAATATTTGAATAAGTTAGCTTATAATATTAAATTAATTTTTCTTACAGTAAAATTTAAGATGTGCACAAGTATCGAGTTCAACTCAGATAGGAGATAAAAATTGTTTTGATCTATGCTTGCTGCATCATCTGTTACTCTTTTTAATTTTTTTTACTTAAACTAATTACTATTTTGATTTGAAGCATTTATAATTAGTTATTCCATCGCAGAAGTGCTTCAGAAATGTTTGATTTTGCCTTTCTAAATCGAAATATCTTTTTTACATGTAAACTATTTTCTTAAATTTATTTCATTCTTTGAATAATTTTGGCTATTAACAGGCTAGGGAAAAATTACTAACTAAAAGTTTTACTGACCGTTTTTCACAAAATATTTCTTTTCTAATCGTGCTTTGTAAATTTATTTTGATTCAGCAGTCTTCGTGGAACAACTAAACATTCTCAAAGTTAAAATTTGACAAAATCAAAAATGAAATTTAAAATTTGAGTTTCAGTCAATATAATAAGGGTAAGGGTATGTGGCAACATGAGGTGTTACTTTATCTTTTAAATCAAATTGTTGATACAGCTAACCCCCGCATAACACGGTAGATACGTTCTAAAAAACTAGCGTGTTATGCGAATCCGTGTTATACAGGATAAGGAACTAGTACAAAAAGAGGGTTACATTCCAATAATTCAAAAAAAACCTGCTACAAATCTTGATTTCATAATAAATATTGTTAAATTTATTTATTTTTTAAGAAGTAATATACATTACATGAATTATATGATTTTGTTCGTCATAATTAACAAGTAAGTGTTAGATAGCACTTTATGATCTTTTTTTTGCAAAATATCTTCATCCTCTGAGATGTTTTCTGCACTGGCTCCATTTCCGTGCATTATTTTTTGCAAAAAAATATTTGCGATTACTTGCTTTTAGAGAAAGGCTATTTATATATTTACCGCATACAAAGTTATGTTTAAAAATTTTATGCTCATTTTATTTAAAGGATTTTTGTTTAAGTCTAATTGTTCGGACAAGCCTTTTTTCGATAGGACGTAGGCGCTCGAATAATATTATAAAAATATAAAATTAATTATCTTTGCAGTAGTTTCATAACATTTATTAAGCTATCTTACGGCGATTTTATTAATTTTAGATTAAATAAAGTTTGATTTTGATAGGTTTTACTATATATCTTATTATTAGGGTTTTGCTCAATTCTTAAACCGGGTTAGAGAAAACCGTTCTTTAAATTTACGTGTTATAAGAGGGATGGTATCAACCTTTAAACCGTGTTGTAGAAGTACCGTGTTATGCGGGGATTACCTGACTAAGATGCATGCTTCAAGGTATATGAATCTATTCGAAATACCATTTAAAAAAACTATGAAAAGGAATTTTAGTGTCATATAGCATTAAGACAGCGGTTTCCAACCTGTGGGGCGCGCTTCTTCAGGGGGGCATCTGTTTCCAGAATACTATTATTGAAAATAATCCAATAATTTTGGAACGATTTTGAAAAATAAACAAAAAATAATTAGTTTTTATGGCATGGCCATAAATTAATATTGCATATTAATTTATAGTCTGTTAATGTCAGTTGAGTATTTATAAAATTAAACTGTTGAGAAAATTAAGGGGGGCACAACAATTTTTTATTAGAGCAGGGGGGCGCTGTGCAATAAAGGTTGGAAACCACTGCATTAAGTTACTGTATAAGTTTTATTTTCATTGCATTAAAAAATGATAGTTAACTAGAAGAGGATTTTTATTATTTTTTTAAATAGCGGGATAAATGATGTCAATGTAATTACAAATGTTTTACGTATAGGTGTGCACTATCTAAAAATTTCGGCGTGTTAATTATTTTGTTCGATGATACATTAAATATTTTTATAGATAAGGTCGTTTTTATATTAATCGCAAAATATGACCACCCGTATCTCAATAACGTTGATTGTAGTTTATCTTGGATAGTCGCGCAAGTGAGCATTAGTCGTTTTAATAAAAAATAAATAAAATACAATAAATAAATATGTATCATTGTGTGAGGTATAAATTATTTAGTGAAACCAAAGTTGAAAAGTCAGACGGGAATTTTAGAAACTGGAGTTTATATAATATCATCAGCTCATTAGCTGGGACTTTATACGATAGAAATTCGATTACAAGTACGTATTTGAATATATTAATTCGATTTTATATTGTGTAATATGCTTTTTGAGCTGAGTGAATGTTGTGTAATATTAATGAATAATTATATGCTAATTTTGTCGAATACCTAATTATATTACAGAAACGCCCATTCGTAAATATGAAAACATAGATTTTTATTAATTAGTGCGAAATATTGTATAATTCTTGTGTTCTTGTGATTTTTTGTGCTTGATGCAATATCAAATGTAATGTATGGTAGTTGTTTTTATTTTTTTTGGAGTTAACGATTAAAATTGAAAAAACACATGTATGTGTAAGAATTTTTGAAAATCTTTATTAGCAGACGTTTTCACATAAAATTTTATGTCATCTTCAGTACGTATATATTAAAAAATTAATTAAAATATGATAAGAAATCGTATATTTTACAAAACTATAGTGTGGCAAACTATTCTAACAGATTAACGTCTATTTTTTTTTAAATTAAAACTAAAATATATTATCTAAATAAATAATTTAGAATAATTGTTATTCTTGTAATTCCATTTCGAATAATTGTTGTTCGTGTAATAATGTTTAATTTAGTATTTAATCGCCGTTTTTTAGCCGATTTTGAATTTCCCATAGGGTAAGCTATAGTAATCGCAAAAAAACGAAAACGATATGTTTTATGTATCTTTACGTTTGAGATTTCTAAACATTTTGGCATGCATTAGAATAAATTAATGTGTGTGCGTGTTTGTATGTATGCATATATGTTTGTATGTGCGGATACAATTTTTATCGACCATTTCGAGAACACGGATTAACCGATTTGAATGATTCAAAAAATATTCGATTCCTATTGAAAAGGAGATGTGCTGATAAGTTTTTGGCTCAGGTAGTTACGAAGATACGTGTTAAAAAGATACGATTTTAATAATTAAAAAATATTTTACTTGTATTGACAAATAATAATAAAAATTAAATAATAAATAAGTAAAAAAATGCCTTTTGGCGGTCAAAACTTATCATTAAACACATATAAAAGTTTTAAAGTTTTTTAAAGATTTTAATTTTTGGTATCTTAAGACACGAAGCCACGCACATCTAGTTATTTTTATAAATGATTCTGATACTGTATTGAAATGGTTACATTATTGTGGAATTTTTATCTAAAGTTTTTGAACGAAATTTGTAATTTGAAAATGCATTTTGTTGAATCGTTTTTGACAAATTTACATTCTTTAAATGTATTAGATAATGAAATCATCCCAGCGATTGTTTTATTTCTTTTACTACCCCTGTTTTATGTTGTTTTATAGTATTTTTACTCTAATATCACTTACTAATTAGTTTTTTTTGTTATTATTAATTGATTAATCTTACCTGATTAAAATGATTATAAACATCGTAAGAAGTAGCCTCTTTTTTTTAAATCTTCTCATTTATTTGATATAGGAGTTTCACAAACTTGACCAACATACAGAAGCAAAGATTCTTAATGTTATAGCACCCGTTAGAATTATTTTTATTTATAGTTTAAAAAGAGTTTATAAAATGGGCCATAAAATAATTAACAGTAATCCAATATATCACAGATTATAAAACTTATCTTCATAAAAAATGATGAACCGGTTTTAGTTGTGTTAGTGTTTTATTCATAACATATTACTGAGTTATTTTTAATGATGTAATGAATATATTTACATATTCTATTAACATAATTTGGTGAATTTAAATGTTTTCTTCATTCATGTAACATATTTGCGGAATAATTTTTGTGTTGATGAACTTAGAATTTTGTTTGAACACTATTAGGTTAAAAAACTTGATTTAAAATTGTATCGTTTGAAATATTGTTCTTTTTACTATTTATCCAATGGTGTGCACTGATATTTGGTTATATTAATATTTATTACGTAATGACTAATCAGCATAAACGGATGTTCACTTGCTAATATTTGTGGTATTTTATCAGAAACTCAGTTAGATATTGCATTTTATATTTTATTACTGTAAATTATTTACTGCTACAATTAATTTTGTACATAATCTTGATAAATTCTTGATAACGTCATCGTTGAGATTACTCTATCTCAGGGATAACATAATCGGTGCCATTATAGAGGTTTAAAGAAATTGATAAATTTTAATTTTGTATTCTGGTACATCACCATATAATTCTTTTCAAATTCGATTCTATTTTAATTTGAAAAGTATTTACTGAAGTTAGATTTATTAAATTTTTTTAATCTTTGTTATCGTATGATTCTAAACATTATTATTCTTGGTTGCTTGCCAACTTGCCAAATATTCTATTATAATTCATATAATTCTTTTCAAATTCGATTCTATTTTAATTTGAAAAGTATTTACTGAAGTTAGATTTATTAAATTTTTTTAATCTTTGTTATCGTATGATTCTAAACATTATTATTCTTGGTTGCTTGCCAACTTGCCAAATATTCTAATGCCAAAATTTATGCATTTCAAAAGCTTTTCGTCATTTTGGTATTCTGTAATAGTAGTTTTTTAAAGATTTATTTATTTCATTTATATTAGATTATACATACATATTTCTATACAATTTAATAAACATGTATAACTATCCTAAGATATAATACATAAACTTATATTTAATACTAACTAATAAAAATTAACTTAACCTATAAATAATTTTTAATATAAATAATTTTTTAATTTTTAAAGTAGTAGTACCACATACAAACTATAAATTATTTCATTTGGAATTATAAATAATTATAAATAAAAATTAATTTATCAGAGCTTTCTATCATATGGTAAAAATATCATATTTTATCATAATTTAATACAATTCTAATTCTTCTAGTTAATTTGAAATATTAGGTTGTCAAATATCTCCCTTCCGCTTTTTTGCTCTTGGTTTATAATACAAAAAGGCGGAAGGGAGATATTTGACAACCTTATATTTTGATCCAAGCACCGTATTTCTTTGTTCACAGGTTATACAAATGTGCATCTGCTAAATTGTCGTACAATATTTGTAAAAAATTGTGGTTTTCAGTACGAAATCAGAATTATACTATGCCAAATATCACATTATAATTTAATTTGTTGAAATACTCTACTTTAAATACAAATAATTAAGAGAATCCGATATTCAAAGAATGTTGAATGACGATCAATTTACTGAGTAGACTATAAATATTGTGATAAACATTTATATGGAGTATATTATAAATATAAGTATATGTATATATATATATATTTGTTTATCATTTTTATTTATTGATTAATTTTATTTATATATTTTGCCAAAGAAAAGTTTGTACAATTTGCAAAAAGACATAGCATCATCTTAGTCGCAATTTAATTACACTGAAAACGATATCTTTATTATCGAATAGAACTTAATGTTAGACAATGGGACAATTATATAAATAATAGTCTCCAACATAAACATCTAAATGTGTATTATTTCTTCGAAATTGTTGTTAAATTGCGTATATCATCATTACAGCTGGAACGTTTAATTGTTAATGTATTATTAAATATATCCCTGGCAGCATAATCAAGATTCTCATTTTTATCCAATGACAAATATCTTTTGTGTTTTTAATATTAGCATGAGTGATCTTTTATTTTTTTCATCATTAGCACGTTCACATTTATGTCTCCAAAGGCAACATTATTATTGTTGGCGATTTTGTAGCCTTATATGGGAACAATTTTTATAACGTTTTTGACCTTTGTCTGAATAAATATATATATATATATATATATATATATATATATATATATAATGGTGGTCCTTAAAATATATGTTTTCAAATTTCTTTGCATCCAGGGGCTCAAATGCTTTCAAATTGATTAAAGTAAATCTCTGAAAGTTTTAGCTCTTAATATTTATTAACTTAAGATGGTCCGCACTCCAACCAGAATCTCTTTGTTCTTTTTCCTGTGTAAATACTTATTTTATGAAATATGTCAAATTTTTGTTGTAAATTTTTTACTTATGACCATATAAGCAAATACAATGTTATTTTCAAAATTTTGATTCACTTGTCGCTATGTTATAAAATTTTAAAAGACAAATGGAGTTTTTCCATGTTAGTTTCCAAGAAACTTTCTTTTGAGTGCGGGCAATCTTAAAGTTAATATTAAGAGCTTAAATTAATTTAATAATTAATATAAATAAGTTGGAAGCATTTGAGCCCCAGGGAGCAAAGATATTCAAGAATATCTATATCAAGGTCCACCCAAATATATTATATGTATTATTTTCAAAAATATACTTAATAATGTGATTTGTTAATGGATTGGTGTGAATATTGATCATACTACATTTTTACTACAGGAAAATTAATGCATTACATCCATTTTTTTTAAATTCTTTTCATAGGATTTTGTTTTCAGTTTAATCGAACTGTTTACAGCAGCAGTTTGTCATTCTATCATGCTATCTTCATTTTTAATGGCATAATTTCACTTCTTGAATTGTTAATGTTTTCATGTTTTTAAAGGCACACATTTTTTGCAATTTTCTTTCAAAATTATTTTATCTGTAAAATATTAATTTGCTCACTAAAAATATCGAATTTAGAAATGTGTAACCATTGTAATCTTTTATTTTTTTGTAATGTAATAATATCTTCAAATGATTTGAATGAGTGATAGAAAATAATAGCTTCGCGTATAAGGCTAAAATATATTACTTTTTTTACTAGAGGTTTCAACATAAAATATAGTATCATCTCCAAAGTGTATTATAAAAAAAACCTTAAATTTTATGATAAATCATAAATTTCTTTAAAAAAAAAACAATTGAGACAATTTGATCCAGAGTTCTAAGAGATTAATACTCATCAAAATTATAAATATTATCTTAAAATCATCTGCATCAGTATTAGATAAAAACTAGTGGGGCGCATGGCATCGTGCCTTAAGGGAAATTGCTGGAACTTTCAGTACCAAATTTTTCTTTTTTAAAGATTAACATTTTTGAAAAAAAAATTACTCTGAAAAATTAGATTTTTGAGAAACTATAAATTTTTGACAAAAATTTACTTTTTTTTGAAAAAAAGACTTTTTCAAGAAAAGTGTATTTTAAAATATTTTGGAAATTCTGAACTTTTTTTCAACGCAATCGTACTGCTTTAACTGCATAGAGACGAAATATAGAAGCGCGTAAGCGCCGCGCCGCCGTCTAACGGATAAGCATTGTTACGGAACCCATAGAAATGTAAACAAAATTTATACTTATTGTTAAAATCTCTATAAAATACCTGATAATTTGATGTGCATATGTCTAATGATCATTTTTGACCGCCAGATGGCATTTTTTTTTACTTTTTTTACTAGATCTCCGAAACCGCTAGACCTGCCTTCATGAAAATTTGATCTGTTTTTCATCTTGTTAATACAAGTAAAATTTTTTGAATTATTCAAATCGGACACTCCGTTCTCTTAAAAACTGAGTTACCGTTTTTGGCACTTTTTGCCCATATCTTCGGAACGGCTAGACCTGCCATCGCCAAAATCGAATGTTTTTTGAATTATTTAAATCGCTTCATCCATGTTCCCGAAATCGTCGACGAAAATTTGTATCCGAACACACATACACACACGCACACACACATACATCAATTTTTTCTAAGGTATGCCAACATATTCAGAAACCTCTGAAACGTAAAGATATATAAAAATTTTCATTTTTCGATTTTTTCACTTACCCTACAGGAAGTTAAAAAACTCTACGCCAAAGGCACAAATAAATTGCTTTTGTGTTTTACAACCAAGCAACAACTTTAGTGATCAAAATTAGAGCTGCTTAGTGCATCTGCCTAAGTCTTACTTAGCAAGTCTGACACCAAAATACATCGCTTTATGTTTGTATTTAATGTTCTATTCCAATGCCAATGCCTCTACAACTTGCCTCCTCCAGCCTTGCCTTACAGCCACAAGCAATCAAAATATATCCTGTGTTCATAATAAATAATTCAATTGATTTATTGCAGACGAAGATGAAGGAATGTCAGCAGATGGTTCGTTGTCCTCGGATACCCTGGGGGTCCGGGACGTGGCAGATCTCTTGCATCCCCAGTACGCTATCATCACTGGTGGACGAACCAGGGACGGTTGTCCAATTATCACCTTTCCTGATAAATGCAACTTCTGCTCACTTATTGACTCAGAATACCAGAAGCTTATGATGTACTTGACGAGCGTGCCATCGTAAGTAGTAATTAATAGTACATTGTTTTTTTCTATTGAGTAATGTTTTTTCGATATACAGTATAGATAAAATATCTGGATAATGATAAAACTTTCTGGACTTAATGATGTTTGGTCCACTTGATTTTTTTTTAAATTTTATTTAAACTAAATTGGATACGTGTGCTATTTTTGAAGACTGCAAAAAACGTACATAGATTAATACAAACGTTTAATGAAGGAATTCTTTAAAAGAAAGAAACTAGTTGGTATTGGTATTTTGCCTTGAGGCAAGTTACATGAACTTCCCGATATGTATAAATAATCGACTTAATCAATAAGAAAAAAATAATTTATGAGTGATTAAAAGTATTCCGAGTGGATTTATAACACTTAATTGAAAACTAACAAACTTGTTAACTTGGAGTATTTTCTAAAAGCAAATTTTCAAAAATCAATATTTTTTATAATTGAACCGGTTTCCGTAGGAGTTTAATCGTTTAGTAGGTTCATTAAGACCAAGTACTCTATCGCTATACCAAGTAAATCGCCTAATTTTAATTTTAATCAACGTCAAAAAACTACTCATTTTCTCAAACTTTGATGAATTTTTAAAATTAAACTACTTGTCGTAAGGCCGTAAATTTTTAGTAAGTTCTACAAGACCATGATATATATCGCCAAAAAAAGTTCCATAAAAATCGGCTTCAATTTTTTTTTCAACAGTTAATTACAAGAAAACGGCTCGGTAGATTTTTATCTAAAACTAATCAGTATCATTCCCAACTAAAATCTTCCGAACAGTTTTTAATTTTCTTAATCGGTTCGGTAGTTTTAGGTTAAATGTGGATGAAAAGTTTAACACTTTTTTCAAATTACAAAGAAACGGCTCGGCAGACCGTCTCACAAAACTGACAAACGATAGTCCTCATTGAGCTACATCAAATGGCTTTTAAATTTCTGGAATCGGTTCAGGCGCTTTTGAGAAAACGTCGATCAAAGATCTAATTTTGACAAATGCAAAAAAACGATACTAATTTTTTCAAACTTTGAAGAATTTTCAAAATTAAACGGCTTATCGTAGGGCCGTCATATTTTAGTATGATCCAGAAGACTATGGTATCTACCGTCAACAAAAAATAAAAATCGTCAAAATTTTTTTTTAAAAAAAACTTTATTACAAGAAAACGGCCCGGCCGATCTTTACCAAAAACTAATCAACACGATTCCCAATCAATATCTATCGAATGGTTTTTGAATTTTTAAAATCGATTCAGAATTGCAGGCTAAAACGAGGACGAAAAATTTTTCACTTTTCTGCAATTTACAAAGAAACGGCCCGGCCGATCGTCGCACGAAACTCAGAAACGCTAGTCCTCATCGAAATACATCGAATGGCTTTTAAATTTTTGAAATCGGTGCATCCGTTGGAGGAAACGTCGACTTACGGCAAAAAATCTATTCACACACACACATACTTTTTCCAAATTTGGTCTCATTCGATTCAGAATGGCTTGAAACGTCGAGAAAACATATAATTAGCGAGTCGGATTTTTTTATGAAAACATTAACTTCTCCTTCGAGAAGTTAATAAATTTAAATCGTGAAAGAAAGTTTGCTAACTCGATAAGGATTTGCTCATAATGTCATTTATTGGTTGTTAACCGGCGATGACCCGTAATAGATTTAACCGCACTTGACCTCACAAGTATAATAAAAAGAATGAAAGGATTTAGGCGTCTATTAATCACATGATCAATTTTTTAATGATTTTTGGACCTCCCTTCCTCTTGGTGATACGTCATGATATTTAAAATTACCTCCCCAATCTCCCACCAAACATCACGTATATTTTTGGTTACGTAAAATTTTTCAAACAAATGCGAATTTACGAAAAAATCGTATTTTTTTTTTTTGAAAATTTATGTAAAAAATAAACACACGTGATATCTTACTAGACCTCTCCATCCTCCACGTGATATTTTGTGATTTTTTGTCAAACCCCTCCTTCCCCTAAAAACCTCACTTGATTAATGGACGTCCGCATAGACAAATACGCATCAATTTTTTTTATTAATCGATATTTTGTTTACTCAAGTAATCGATCGGTACATTTAAAATATATAGGATTTTGTTTTTTTGATAATTTTTATCTTAACTCTGCAAATCATATTGGTATCTGTCACCATCGTTATTCTATTTTTCTGTGTATTGTTGGTCTCGAATTTCTGCGGTTAATTTTGGAAAACAAACCAGTTTTCATAGACATTAAAAATACGAGGTGTGTTCAAAAAGTACCCGGAATTACTAATAATTAAATTTCGCGGGTCTGGAGTGTCTGATTGTCAAAATTTTTTTTTATTGTGTTGGTATACATGCCCCTAAAGTATGATGAAATTTTCAGCTATATTCACTGTTTACTTTGTCTGTGGTAGTCGCTAAGGTTCGACGTGTTTTTCTGAGCTCGGCGATTTTTACAATGGAAGAATTGAAAAGTCAAAGAATTTGTATTAAATTTTGCGTAAAAAATGAAATAAAGTGTTGCAAAGTGCAAAAAATTCACCAGATATGGCTCCGTGTGACTTTTTCCTATTCCCAAAGTTGAAGAGACCCATGAAAGGACGGCGGTTTTCCTCGATTGAAGAAAATCGCTGAGAGTGCTCAAGGACATATCAAAAAGTGAATATCAAGGGTGCTTCGAAAATTGGAAAAAACGCTGGCATAAGTGTATTATATCTGGGGGGGACTACTTTGAAGGGGACCACATTAATGTAGACGAATAAATAAATATTTTTTTGAAAAAACGAAAATTCCGGGTACTTTTTGAACAGACCTCGTATCTTAAATTGCGCACGCAATTGGGGCCAAACTATTTCTATCCAATTTCTTAAGTCAACAGAACAGATGGTTTGTCTTATTTATGAAATCCAACTTATTTCATATCTAAAATTGTTGATATTTAATTTTCGAGCAAAAAAATTTTTTTCTTGACACGAGGGACCATTGTAAAAGTGTTTCAGTATCTTCTTTCTGAATCGATGCCTTTGTATTTTTTGACTATAAAACGTTAGAACTAAACATGGATTTTATTTTGTGTTTGTTTTTTATTCAATACAAATATTGTGGAAGTAGATACTCCAAGTTTTTATGATCGTAAAATGTATTTAATTCGCCTGATTCTAAGTGACGTACTATAGTTTTTTTCAGATTAATTTAGAAATGCTATGTAGAAATGCTAAATACTTGACGGTATTTATTTTAAGGTTTTCAATTTTAATACTTCATCGTTACAATAAAAAGGTTGGAGTCTGTCAATAGGAGAGATAGAAAGTTGGTTACGCACATGGCTTATTAAATAAAAAAATGTGCGTGGTTGGAGGAAGATAATTTTTTCAAAATTGGTCGTATTGGGCTCAATACGAAGTTGTGGTAAAAGGCTATTTTTTGGAACTTTTCTACTGGAACTTGAAACTTCTTATACTAACTCCTAGACCTACACCAATGTTGATGTTATAACGGTTTAGACAAAATGAGCAGAATTGTTATTTTTAGATTCTTTGTATATATACATGTGTGTTCATTATATACGATATATATATATATATATATATATATATATACATGTGTGTGGGTGATTTTTTTCAAGATACCTAATTTTGTCGTTGATGAAGATTGAATATTTTTAGATAATCTTTATTTTTCTATGTTTATGATATGTGAGAATAATGATTCTCTTAAATTCATTCGATTATATTTTGAAGTTATCTCTCTTCGCAAATTACATTGCGATCATTACGGCTTTCAAAAATGTTTCTATTATTTTTATAAATTATAATTGACTAATTTTCGTACTATGATAATAATGGTTTTATTGGCTGTCGAGGAAGAATATAAGAATATAGAGTAATTTATTCATTTTATTCATATAGTAAATTAATTTTTTTCCGCTGTTACTAATCGTTTGGGTTAAATACTATTTTTCGAATTTAATTGAATTAGATTTATTTTACATTAAATTTTCTGTTTTTGGTGCCAATCATACAGAGTTTGTTTCAGTTCATCTGCACACTTTTACTTCTACATGTAACATTTCATGTAAGACACTAGATTGCCTTATCATTATCAACAGTTTACAAAGACTATTAATTATTCGTACTATTAATTTGCATCTTTGAAAAAATGCCATGATTTTTTGCGTTTTTAATAATTAACATGATATTCTACATATGATGTGTGTTTGTCATACATTACTCATCCGGAAAGTAGTGAAAAATAAACAAATAGGAAATGCATCATTAACACTGATTGCAATGAGTTCTGAGTAACAAGATATTGCAGTATCAGTGCCCGATTTTATATGTGTTGTTGAGATTTCATTTGCATACTTTAGTTTTCTTTCTAACCATAAAAAATAGTGTTCTCAATTTTGAGATATGTAGAACATGTAGAAAACATACATATATATTTTGAAACGTATTCTGTGGGGAAGACATTTTTTAATGCTTGAAATTGTTATCATTCAAATAATATAACCACAATGGTTTACAATACACATAGCCTAGTTTTCTTTAATGAGTTATTAAGGAATTGTTATTGCTTAGGATAAAAATACGTAATAAATTATTTGGTATTTCTAAATCGTTTGAAAACTTTACAACACATATTTTATTCATAATTATATACACCTAAGTCTGTTTTTACACGGAGATTGGTTCCAGAAGAATCCGTGTAAAAAAAAAACGTGTAAAAAAAACACATTGATCTTATACAAAAATGGGTGATTTGTTCCGAATCTCTAAAACCTATTAAAATTGGTGAAAAACAAGAATTTTTAAGAACAAGAATTAAATTAGTGCTATTCACATTTGCTTTGACCAGTAAAAATTGTTTGTACGCGCTAAAGGGGAATTCACTTAAATCTTTAAGCTAGTGTTTGCAAACTATCGATACTATCGATGGTTTCAGACTTTTTTCTTTCATAAATACTTTTTTGTGATATGAACATACTTCGCAAAAATTTAATTTGACAAAAAAAATTTAGGTACATAAAATTTCAAATCGTGCTAAATGGAATAAATTCGTGTAAAAAATTTAAAAATATTCAATTTTCAAACCGTGTTATATCAAAACCGTGTACAAAAAGACCGTGTAAAAACAGACTTAGGTGTATTTAAGAATATTCGCTAACTAATACAATATTCGTTTAATTCTGATTCACCAATACAAATTGATGTATCTTTTTAATATCTAGATTGTTTGTATACGAATCCAATTTTTGTCATATGTTTTTTAGATTTGTGCCAATAAACGAGAATATCTTTGAGACTTTCTTTGAAAAATAGTAACATTCGCTCAAAGCAAACATTTTACCTATTAGAATGAGAGTTTTCAATCTCGTTGATTAATTTAATAAGTATGTTTTTTTACCTAATATGCATTTTTTATTAAAATACGGAATTGAAAATAGTTATTACAGCTATTTTAATAAAACAAACAATGATTTTAGACATTCGACTTGAACTTTTGACCTTTTATATCATATTATCTAGGTTTTTTGTACAGTATATTTAATATATTTCAGAGTTTGAAAATTGTCAGAAATTAATATTAATTTTTTAATGAAAGAATTTGCTCTCCATTTATAGTTAACCTTGATTCTTAAGGATTTTATTAAGATGCGTGAGCGCAAAAAGTGCTAAATAGGTAACTCATTTTAATTATTCAAAAAATATTTTACTTATATTGACAAATGAAGAATTGATTAATTTTTGGGAAGACAGTTTTAGCGGTTTCGGAGATCTAGTAAAAAGTCAAAAAAAAATACGCCATTTGGCGGTCTCAAAATGATCATTAGACATATGCACGCCAAATTATCAGATATTTTATGGAGATTTTAATAATACGTATAAATTTTGTTTATATGGGTTCCCGTAACATCTTTTGTCCGTTAGACAGCGACGCGGCGCTTATGCGCTTCCATATTCGTCTCTACACAACTAAAGCAGCGCGATTGCTTTGAAAAAAAAATTCAAAATTTGCAAAATATTTCAAAAAATAATAACATTTTTTTTTCAAAAAGTTTTGTTTTCCAGAAAAAGTCAATTTTTTTCAAAAGTTTTTAAATTTCTGCCATACACCACTAGTTTTATTTAATTTAACTAAACATTTTATAAAGCGTATTTATATAACGTATTAATCATATATTTTTATTAATAACATTCTCTATTGATCATTTGCATTTTTAGTAGAACCCCGTTAAGACAATCATGATTATACGATATCTTGCATAATACGACATTTCACGCCGCACTTTGAAATAATTGTTCCTATCCCGCTTAATTCGATTTGTAGTATAAGATGCGTTTCTCTCGGTCTCTGGAAAATCGTCTTAACGGGGTTTTACTGTAGTTATATTTTTGTTGTTCGAATGCGATTCTCGCTCTTGCATATGCAACATATTTAATTAGAAACTTCCAGGCAGCTTGTCAAACGCAATTGTCTATTTAGATCGTGATTCATGCGTTATGTTATTAATTGGTGGTTTTGGATCAATTCAATTGTGTCACGTTTTAATTTCATATTCAGCGTTGTTGTTGATCAAAACAAATATAGCTTAGTCATTAGGTATTATTGACTTCTAATTATATATTTTTTTATATCAAATCAAGTATTTTAGTAACACAAATATGAAAAATATTAAGTAATAAATGACTAAAGCTTGATAATTCAGTCAGTTAAACAAAATTGAACAAATAAGTTTATTTGTCAAAATAATTAAATAACACTATATAATGCAGATAAAATTTTAAACAATTATGTTAACAATGCACTGATGCATCAAATATTAGGCCGAATTTGGGATTCTATAATCTATTATGATAAGTTATTTTTGTTATAAGTTTTTTTTACTTGCATGGTTATTAGAAGTCAACCCGATGGTTCTTTCATCTATTTTTGATATAATTTCATCATCAGGAGGGCAACCCAATTGGTCTTTTCTAATTGTGATGTATTTTAAACTTTTTTTACCAATGTCCGTAGGGTTATTTTTGCTTGGAAATATATTTATGATAGTATTTCTATCGATAAGCGAAAATGAATATTACTACTATCGGGATTTAAATTCAAAACCTTGTGGTTTCGCCACCAATTCCATAGTTATTTAATTTTATTTTTTTGTATTTGTATTTATGTTGATTGTAAATATGAGATACATTGTAGTGTAATCGGTATGTCCTTAATTAGAGTCTCCATAATTAACTGAAAAAATATAAGATATAAGGAAATGCTCACACCGAAGTAAAAAACTTGCTAAGTAGTGAATTTAAATTCACAAATTACTTTAACGAATGGATATAAAATAAATATTAATCAATGATATTATTTATAGTGTTTTCTTTGCTATCTGAAATTACGATCTCATTCTTTGCGCGGTTTACTTTAAATATGAAAAAAAAATGTATTGATAATTTTATTTTTATTCAAAATTATGCACTCTTATGAACTATAAAATAATTATATTAATATTCTTTCAGATTACAAGAAGCGGATATGGGATTTCACCTGATTATAGATCGAAGAGAGGACAAATGGAGTTCCGTTAAGGCAGTGCTAATGAAGATTTCGGTAATATATTATTTTATTTTATACTTCTCACAATAATAAATGCAGTTATTTCTATATATCTTGTGTCATAAAATATGCATATTTATATCGAGTATAAACTACTAATTACGTATTTTTTATTTTTTATACCACATGTAGAACGAGTGGCACTTTGTTAGAAAGAATAATAAAAGCGTTAAAATCAATTATTTATTGGTCACAGGTGTTTTCTCTAGCTGAATGGAATTGCATGGCCGTTTTTTATGATTCCTACAGAAGCGGTTTAGTAATGATTGCAATGTTGTTCGAATAAACGATTAAATTGTACTAATAAAAAGCATTAGCTGTAAATCTTGTATCAGACTACATAAACTACACAATGATAGTAGTAGCATAAAAATGCTGTTATAAATATATTTTAGTTTTCTTTATATATAGATATATATATATATATATATATATATATATAGAGAGCGAGAGAGAGAGAGAAGAGAGAGAGGGAGAGAGAGGGAGAGAGTAGAGCCGGGCTTAAAGGTGTACTAAGGCCCACCGCAGATTTTTCAAACACAAGTAGATTTAAGAATTTTTTCAACAGTATAGGGCAAAATATGCATAATCAACCATCACTTGATTCTCACGACGTCGCTATTGGGAGATAAACGGGCAATGTTTGAAAATCCATAACAAGAGCAATCTATAAGATTTTTTTTTATTGTTACAACAGCAATCAGAACTCTTACTATTTATATGTTCTATAAGCTGCTTGGTTCAAGACTTATGATCTCAGGTATTATTATGAGAGGCAACCCATCGGTTCACCATTCTCCTATGTGTGGTCTATATATTTTTATATACTAGCTCTTACGTCTAATAGTTTACATATGATTGAATGATGCAACTATGTCCACGAAGGACGATTTCCACTTGAAGTTATATTGTGATCTATGTCCCCAAGTGGAAATTTGACATCAAAGTTGCCTGATGTCGGGCTACGGCGGTAATCTATAAGATGTATTATCAATTTTAAGTTATATTCAACAGTTTTTTTATATAACTTCTTAAAAATTACAAGGGGGTGGGGTAAAAAGGACCAACTGAACCTTTACCCTGCCAAATGTGTAAACAATAACAATTAGTATATAAAAAGTGAACCTAGTTAAAAAAGCGATTAAATAAACTCTACTGATATATATTCCTCACGTAATACCAGATTATGGTTATATACAATTGCTGAAAGTCAAATTGGACCATTATGCCTCATTGACCACTTTTCTTCTGAATATTTAGTATTGAGAAGTAACATTATAATATCGCGTGATGAATAGATAGACAATTTTTAGACTAATACAATATTGATGTTCCATTTCTACTGTATTTTAAATATATTAAATTATTGTTTTTTATTTTTTAGATATTCTTTCCGGGTGTGATAAATGTGGCATATGTTTTGCGACCGGCCGGATTTTTCCAGAAGGCGATATCTGAAGTCAGTAATAAATTATTCAAGGAAGAGTTTCGGTTTCGAGTTGAAGTTTGTTCCTGTTTAGAAGAACTTCACGAATTCATTGATAAGTCACAGCTGACAAGCGATTTGGGGGGTGATTTGAAATATTCACACATCGAGTGGATACAACAAAGAATTGTACGTAAGATAATAAAATATGCTTACTATTATTTATATTTAAATTAAGTAGGTGAGACTGCATAGGTTTTTATAATTTACGATTATTGGAAAATACCACATTATAAAATTATTATGAAAGTTGAATATTTTATGTATCACGCTCTCATTTGCTAGGCAATTGTAAAATACTGAATATCCATCCATAGAATGTTGAAAAATAACTGTAATTTAATATCAGTTTTATAACAATTAAGGAACAATGTAGGTTCTGAGGAAAATGGCTACTAAAAATTACAAATTAAAATTAATCTATTTTGTGTGGTGATTTTATTCATTTCATATCGATTAAAGTGCAGAACTGGCAAAAGCATTGTAAAAAAAGTTTGCTTAATAAGTGGCATTACTCTTATCGAATTGAGAAGTGAAACGCCGCATTAAAAACGGTTCCAAACCTAAATTGTGCAAATGTTTGCCGTTTTGCAAATTACTATTTCAGGTTGCGTGAGTACGGTTCTGGAACAAATTATGTTAGTTAATTAATATTGATTTGTTTAAAGTTATTTAGAAATAGCGTGTTTCTGCACCCACTTTATTTTGTTCAATTGCACCAAAATTGTTTTTTCTGAAATTATTTTAATATTAAATGTTATTGTCACATCAATATTCGTATTATTCTTTATTTCGGCTTTTTTCGATACCTATTGTAGTCTTCTTGATTACGTAGCTTTTTGAAGGCAATCTAACGGTTGCCATCCACTATTTTAATATTTTATTATTCGAATTCCTCTAATAGTGATGATTTGTTGTAGCAGTGCGGTAGAGAGCTATTTTTACTGGGACACATTTTGAGATTGAGATGATTTTTTACTACTTTGCAATTTTGCAATTTGATAAATTTACATGCATTATCAAAACTTATTTTGAAATTTCATCCGCTGCATTTTGCACACATTGTTATCATTTAGAAACGGAAACTGATAAAATGGTATATATATATAATATATATATATATATATATATAGTGTTGTGTGTATATATTTTATTACAAACTTACTTATTTCATGTAGCGAAACGCAATCTATTTTGTTAAATTGACAATACTAATAAAATTGTTTAAACAAAGTTTTTCTTTAAGTAGATATGTAACTACCATAATGTGCTATACCGTTCTACTATTATACGATATACCAATGTATTAATGTATACCAATATTAGTACCTACTACTTGCTGTGTGAGAATATTAATACACAATACGATTTATTATAATGATTTATTAATGCGTATCGAAAATGTTTTTTAAACACATGAAAGATTGTTTTCTTTATCTCTTATGAATAACGGTTTGATATTATTCTCTTTCATACGAATTATAT